TATAATAGCATTTCTAAAACATATAAAGATATACACCCACCTCAGATGTACAAATTTATGGCCCTTCTGTCCTATCGGTGGATCTTTTCGGTGTCATCATATTTGTTCTAATACCGATTGTTTCACTCGTTTCACCTAACACATTTATAATTAAAATATCAATATATTTATTACATTTAATAGTTAATCATGCACTAATACGTGCAAATGATGCACCTTAAAGTGTCCCGGTAACCCTGGTTACCGCACTATCTACTCACACATTAACACTTTTATTCTAGGGATCACATTTTCTTGCCAAATTTTCAGAATCACTCACATTAATCACAATTAGCATTAAGCAGGTCAAACATATTGACCCAGGGGCCCATTTTCACACATTTCAACTCTAAATCCTAAAAACTACACTTCTAACATTTCATACATTTTGCACCGGATATTATACTCATTTGCATTCGAAAGTCACATTATCACATTAAGAATCATTTAAAAATGTTGCATGCAAAATTTTAAGTCATTTGGATTAAAATTCACACATGTGATAATAATATTTAGAAATCAAGATTTCGGCGTTACCGACACCCGTTTTTCATTTCTATCACACTTTTTATTTAAAATTGTCATACTTAAATTCACATTTACATTTAATCAATGCAAAACAGCCCCCAAATTGAATTTTTAAATCACTCATTTCACTCTCATAATTTCGATTCCAACCTAGCCCTCAAAAACATACTGAACATATCAAATAGTCATTTTCACATTTTTCTCACCTTTAGTTTAATACTCATTTGGAACTCATCTTTAACAACCCGTTAAGTATGCTAAATAGACTTAATTTCACCCATACAAAATCTGTTTTAACATTACTTAAATCAACCCATGAAATTTGAATTAAAACAGCTCATGAAAATAAAATAGCTCGTATATTTAAATTAAAACAGTCTACTAATTAAACCATATTAAAACAGCCCACACATATATAAATATGTACATACTAAAATTAATCACAACTCAAAACTTAAATTCATTTACCTTCTTTGCTCACGGTTCAAATGGACGCACACGCTTGTTTTTTCTTGATATCTTCTACTCTTTTTTTTTCTTTTTTTTTTTTTCCTTTTTCTCCCTTGCTCTCCTCACTCTCGGCTTCTGTCAAACAACCAGACACATACACATTTGTTTATATCCTAAACACACACTCACACATACATACCTTTTATATTTTGCTTAACACACACACTCACACACACACGGCACACTGTTTTTTTTTCTTTTTTTGTAAGCTATCACTTTGAAAGGTAATGAGTTAATTACCGTTGTCCTCCCTAAGTTTTTAAATGATTTTAAAATCGATCTACTAATATTTTCACAAAATTAAAATTTAACCCACAAAATTATATTAATATACATGCAATGCATGATTGGGTCTCACAAATTTTCTATGGGTTCTGTGGGTGAAAAGAATTGACTATGAGAAGATGATCAAGAACGCGTGGAATTCTGGGATTTCAGGTATGGGTTCTGTGGGTTTAATCAAGAATATCCAGAATTGTAGGGTAGGTCTTTTCAAATGGGAAAAGGAACAGCTGGCCCATATTGCAGCTAAAATTGAGGAATTCAAAGACAGGTTAGGAGGTTGATCATAGAAGATGTTAGCCAAATACAACGGACCCTCAAATCTGAATTAGATGGCTTGATGGACCTCGAAGAATTCATTGGCAGCAAAAATCGCGGATCAATTGGCTTAAAGAAAGTGACAGGAATTTGGCAATCTTTTATGTCTGGACATCACATAGGAGGAGGAAAAACTGAATTGAAAGACTAAGAAATGAACAAGGCACTTGGTGTGAAAATCAAGATGAAATTGAAGGTGTTGCTATCGAGTATTGTAAGCAGCTGTTCAAATCCTCCAGTTCAGGCGACAGTGACCTAAAAACGGTTTTGAGCAAAGTGGAGGGCAAGGTTACTGAAGATATGAATTCAAGATTTCTGCAGGGCGGATGAGATATTTCCAGTTCTTTCCAATCGAATTGTGTTTGGGTAAGATCACAATTCGTATTTTAATTCGATTTATTTAATTAATTATGTTAAATATTTTTAATTAATAAATAAATTTATTTATTTACCTTGTTTTATTTAGATTAATACGAATAACTAGAGAATCAAAAATTCAAGATTAAAATTTTTTTTTTCTCTCAATTGAACTCCCACTTATACGCATACTATAAACTAAAAATCTACTTGAAAAATTTATTAACGCTGCCGGAATTCATATGAACTTGGTGTAGAAATGAAAATTTTATACATTTTTTCATGCAACAATAATTAAAAATGTTTATTGTGTTAAAATTAAATTATTGGTATTTGATATTAACAAACTTATTTATTATTTATGTTAATGTATCTTATTATTTTTTTAAATTTAATTTATATTGTGTTAAAAATTATCATTCATGATCAAAATTGAAGCATTTCCTTCGTCTAAATATAATGTCCCTAAATTAATCTCACGGGTAGTCAAATGAAAACAGAAATGAACTATATATTTAATTCTTTATTTTTGAAATAAATAATTTATTTTTAACTAAATAAGAGAAGAAATTAGTCAAAATAAAAGTGAAAGGGTCCGAATAAGTCTGTCTGCTATTAAAAAAAAAAGAAAATGATGTCACTAAATTTATCCAATTACCCTCCTAGCTTTGGAATTGTAAATTGGACCAAAGGGTCGCTGCCAGTTGAGGTAATAATGGTTGGGTTGAAAATGGAGCCGTAAACAAAAAGCAAGAGTTGAAAAGAGTAGAGAGGCTTTGGACAGACACAGCATGCAGAGACTTGCAGGTCTTTGGGAGCAAGTAATGATGACCCAGCACCCCCCTTTCTTATTAAATGCAGTTTTGGTAAATTCGCCTTTAGTTGGGAACAATAAGCACATTATCTATATATAATAAAGTAGAATTCAAGAGAAAAAAGAGTATTACAAATCGTTTTGACATCAAAAAATGACCGACGATATTTTAAACTGTCTTAAGTTATTGACGTCTTAAATCGTTTTGATTCGACATATCATATTAGCTCTTAAAAATTTTTTATTGCTCAAAACTATTAATTTTTAAAACTAATATCCCTAAATTTAATTCTTCAATCCAATCAAATTGGGCAATTAAGCGATCTCTCATTCCTCAACGTTGTCTCTCTTTCCCGAAAATACATATTACAACTCTTATTATTATTTTTCTAATGTTATTTCTTATGTTAAGGGATCACTTTCTATACTAGGACATTGACTGTCCCTCACACTCTCATCTTTCATGATTATCTTTTCAAATTGAGACACGTGTCTCCCCAAAATTCTATCCTAATGCAGCTGCTCTCCATCTTTACTGTTCATATCACACACACATCTTTACTGCACATATATATAGTACAAAGATCAAAAATATATTATATCTACAAATTATATCTTAGGAAAAGTTTCGTCTAAACACCATATAGTTAAGTCTAAAATCAATGATAACCCTTGTAACAATAACTTTTGTCTCTGTCAGTAGATAAAATAATTATTTAACTAAATATTTTATAAAAATACTAAAATTACTCTTTATTATGTAACTAGACTAAAATGTCATCAATTTTTTTCTATTATATAAGCGTTAGCCAACCAACAAACGTAATTTCAATCATTATATTATCCCAATAAATTTTTTATTTTAAACCGTCATATTATAACTTTGTTATAATATTAGTCATTATATTATCACTTATTTGGTTACATAATCAAGTTTTTATAATTTTTATATTTTTTTATAATAATAATTTTTATAGTTAAAAATAATTTTTCTATAATAAAAATTACAATTGATAAAATTAATGTCAAAATCTCATCCATTTCTAATTCCTCTCCTATCATATGTCCTCCACAACATCGCCCGAACGCTTCTCACACATCATATTTCATATATAAAATTTAAAATTATTTGATAAAATTTAATATTAATTGAATAAATTTGATCTTAATTTTGATAAATTTAAATATTAATTTAGTTTAATTTGATAAAATTAAATATTAATTTAGTACTAATTTGATTGAATTAATATTAATTGAATAAATTTGAATGTTGTTTTAATAAAATTAAATGTTCATTTGGTGTTAAATTAAAGAAATGACATTAATTTGATAAGGTTAAATTTTAAATTAATGGAATTTAATATTCTATTTAATAAATTAAATATTTAATTTAATAAAATTGAATTTCAATTTGCCTTTGATTTGATAAAAATAAATAATAACTTAATATTAAATTAAAGAAATAATATTAATTTGGTGAAATGAAATATTAAATTAATATAACTAAATGTTAATTTGATAAAATTAAATATCAATTTTATGTTGATTTGATGAGATGAAATGTTAATTTATTTTAAATTAAATAAAAAAAATTAATTTGATAAAATTGAATATTAAATTGGTCAAAATAAAGGCTAATATAATAGAACTAATATGGAGTATAATGAAATTTCAGAATCAAGAAGGAGTGTTGTTAAAGTTAGGTCTATTTACAAGAGGTGTGGATAAAATTTATTCTATAAAATACTCAGGGATATTTCTATAAATCAATCATCGTCATTAACGGTGTAACCTGACAATCACTAATAGGGAGTGATAGTGAAATTTTAAAATCGGAAGGAGGTACAATTAAATTTAGACCTAACTACAAGGAATCTGAATAAAATTTTCTCTTATATCTATACAAATTTATACAGTAAAACACACATGAAGTTGAATTTTATCCCCTATACATTTTCCACCCCCAAAATCATCACATCACTTATTTTTATCACATGCTTAACTATTTAATTTTTGATTAATTTGTAATTTAATATATTTTTTATTTCAGATATTATCTATACACGATAGTATAGACATGTTAAAAAAATTTATCGAATTACATATTTTGAGAAAATTTTGTCAATATCTTTAAGAAAATTAAATTAAATTTCACCACTGTCGAAAGAAATCCCCAAAATTTGTGAATATCAAACTTGACAATCAAAATCAAATTTTCAAAAGCACACATTAGACTCATTCTTCTCCAAGTAAACATAACATATAGAGTTTCTAAAGACAACAACATGATTAAGATCCGAGGTTCATTACAAAGTATTTATTAAGGGCTCTCCATTCAGGAAGTCCCTCACAGGCAGAAGAACAAGGCACTAGCTCTATATTCATCACCTTATTAGAGCTATCAAAACTTGTTTTTGTACCAGAACACACCTTTCTTGGGGGTACCCTCATCTGGCTCAACATAGATACACTCTCTTGCCTCCCTCCACATTGCCTTGTAAAACGGCAGGCCATCAAACTGGTAATACTCTCCCAGTATTGGCTTAATCGCCTTTGTTGCCTCCATTGCATGATAATGTGGCATTGTTGAGAAGAGATGGTGAGTCACGTGTGTATCAGTGATGTTGTGGAACACCTTGTTCAGCACACCATAATCTCTATCCACAGTTGCCAAAGCTCCCCTCAGCCAGTCCCATTCAGAAGAGTCATAGTGTGGGAGTGAAGGGTGTGTGTGCTGCAAATATGTGATCAAGACGAGGAAGCCATTCACGATTAGCAGTGGAACCCCATAAACGCACACCAGCCACACTAGCCCCTTTGCCACGGCCACCCGGTAAAGCAAATATGCGGCAGCAATAACACCTGTGTCAGAGATGTAAATCTGAAGCCTTTCGCGGTCATTGTATATAGGGCCATAGGGGTCATAATGGCATGCAAAACGATCATAAGGTCTGCCAGAAACATTGAATGCCAAGTACAAGGGCCACCCAAGAGTAAGCGTGACTGTGAGACTAATCACCCGGCCTGGTGGGTTGTTCAAGTATTTGGAATACCATGCCATTTTGGATTTAGGCTTTGGTACAAAGACCTCATCACGCTCAAGGGACCCAGTGTTGGAGTGGTGGCGCTTATGACTATATTTCCATGAGAAATAGGGGACCAAGAGGACCGAGTGGAGGATGAGGCCAACTAAGTCGTCGACCCATTGGTAGTCACTAAATGCGTGGTGACCACACTCATGGGCAATGACCCAGACTCCGGTGCACACGCAACCTTGCACAATCCAGTAGATGGGCCATGCAAGGTAGGACAAGGGGTAGGGAAGGAGGTGGAAGCAAGATGTAGCAATGTAGTAGAAGACGAGGACTAGGAAGAGGTCGTAAACAACGTAGGAAAAAGAGTGGAGAAGCGATCGTTGGAAACAGTGGGGTGGGATGGCCTTCTTGAGATCACCAAGTGTGAATGGAGGCTTCGAGTATGGGACTCTCTGGAGGAGGTTCTTCTTTTGTTCAGCTTTCGTCGTCGTGACAGACATGCGCCCTCCGGCTCCCATTGTTCCTCCTTGCTTGTCAGTTGGAGACTCAAACCTGCACAATTTAGACACTGAGTTTTGCAATGCCCTAAATATTTCCATTAGATTTAGGAAAATGCACATCAAATTGGGAAATAAAAGAGTAATTCTCCCCTATAGCAAATAATAAATCCCACTAACATATTGCTAAAGATGAAGTTGGGTATTAGTAGGCAAAAGTTCTCATTTCAAGTAGAATCACAGATTTGATAAATAATTGCTTGCTTTCTAAGTTTTGAAAGCAGCCGCATTGCTTTACATGAAGTAGGGTATTAGTAGGCAAAAGTTCTCATGAAACAAAGTAAAATCACAAGATTTGATGAATGAATAGAAAAGTCTTTCCAAGCTTTGAAAAAAACACAAACCATGGTAAATATGGCAATGACTTTTCAGAGATAAACAAACTATTAGCTCGAACAGTGACAAATGATAAATCGAAAAGGAAATATCAATGCATGGCACTTTACTTTCCATTTGCAAACAATTAATGAATTAATGAAAATAGAGAAATCAAAAGACCATGAGTCTTTTTATGTGCAGACTATCCATTATAACTAGCCTATTGTCGTGAAATGAGTTGAACAGGTGAATTAGGCTTATGGAATATATAACATATCCATCTGGCATTCAGAAAACACGGATTTGGTTAAGCACTGAAAATTTGCTAGAAGAAAGACAAGAAAAACAGCAATGCTAGTTCATAATCCATACACAACATACAACCGTTTATTCTTAAAAGACTGGCTAAACAACAAAATGCAGAGAGTCTTACATAGGAGAATTATATTAGCATCAGACTGCAACAAGTTGTGGTATATAAACTTCAATATGCTTTTCTTCACCGGAATAATCACTTACTAAACAAATCTCACACTTTATAGCAGCATTCAAGCTTACTCGTGGCCAAGGGAAAAAGGAACAAAAACATTGAATGCAGAGGCATGGCGCCTCCAAATTACGGACACGAATACAGGGTACAAGAATACCATTTAGCTTTAATAAGGTAGGTACTTCCTAACTTATGTCTATGATTGCTGGTTGCAACCCTCACATCTAATCAAGATACATAAGGTCTACAATCGCAGGGTCCCCCAACTTGCCAGAACAGAATGTGAGGCTAGAACACCACCCATTCAAAGATCAACATTTCTGTATTGATGCTAGTTTCTATTGGCACAGAAACAGAAATATTTTGAAAATAGTTCAAAAACATGATGGAATCAGAGACAAAATTAAAATTTTATATCCAAAAAAATGTACCAAAACAAGCCGAAACAGCTCGAAACGTAAGAATTTCGATATTCCTCGCACCCATTAAAATGAAACACCTCATCCAAAATGAAAAGACATTTAATTCTTCGCACCCATTAAAATGTTAAATTTTAGGGTGACAATTTCTAATACAACACGAGAACACGACTCGAAATCAACACGAAATTAACAAATTAGGGTTGACCATTTCATGACATGAACCCGTATATGACACGATATGTTAACACGAATAATAAATAGGATGTGTATTGTTAAACACTAACAACACAAAATTGACACAATTAACACATTTAAGTTATATTATAAAAATAAAATGCCAACTTTTTATTATATTTTATCAATAAGTGATATAAATCTTGTACAAAAAAATATTTTTTTATTCATTTTTATTATTATATTTATTCAGTTAATTTTTAGTTTCTATAAAAAGTATGTGCATATGTTTAATTAAAATGAAATTTTAGACATAAAGCTTAGCATTAAATTTTTTATTCTCGAGTTATATGGTCAACATGAACACAATACGAAAATAAATAAGTTGACACAATTAATAAAATGGATTGAGATAAAATTGATTAATGCTCGACAAAATACAAACACGACGCGACACAATTATGACCCCAACTAAATCCCACATCATACTCCTAGCAAAAATCCATGGGGTCCAGCATAACAAAAATTGACCCAACAAAGATCCTACCTAGTGGGCACGTCTCACCGATGTTTACAATAGTATACATTGATTGCACACACATCAGGCTTTCTCTCTCTTCATTTTGACATATGCTCAGTTATGCCAGCCCATGCCAGCTCCAGCAAGTTTCAAGTTTAAATTTGTTTCCAACAAAAACCCATGCCATTGCTTCTAGTAAATTAAACCATCTAGTTAAGATTTGAGAAGAAAGGACAAATCAGACAAGTTTTAATGAAAATTGGAAAAAACTAACTTACAAAGAAACAATACGTACCAAATTAATAGAGAGAGAATGTGATAGGAAGGTCCTAGATTGGATCTAACAACCAAAATACTTATTATTGTTGAACCCACCAACTTGATTTCAAAATCCATTTTATTTGGTTGGAAATTAAGAAAACAATTATAACAATACAAGAGCACAAAAGAAAGAAAATCACAACACTTTACCTTTCCACTAGAACAGTGACAACACAAATATCAGCTTCTACTGAATTTGGTTAAATTTGATATTGATTTTGATACTAATAAAGAAAAGTGAAATAATCAAATATAGGAAACTTTACTCGTTTCATGTTTTGATTGCTGAAAAATAGGGAATGCGGGACCAAAAAATTACTTTTCCATATCAGGACCCACTGCAGTGGAAGTGCCTCAATAACTTTGATGTCAATAATACTTTCCAGTTTCCATCACATATCAACTGCAATAAGAAAGGCCAGGACCTACTTAGTGAATGATGAACCCACTCACCTATACGAAAATTAGACTTGTTAGATGAGTTTTTACCTTTAAATTAGAGCTCATATTTTTTTTTCATCCATGTAGAAAGCTTGAAAATAGTGTGTGCCTAGGATTGACAGTCAACTTCAATTCATTAACCTGATTTTTCTAATATTTACAACCTCTAATTTTTTTATTTTATTTGTTTCAGTTAACTTTATTAGGCAGCTGGCTCCATTAGGTGTCAATGGGACTAAATTTCAGTGATTAATTATTGAGAGTATGATTTAAATTATTGGTCGATAACCATACAAATTGACCGAGTTGAATGTGACTTGGACATCTTTTGTTCTAATACCCTTTCACGTTGCACATAAACTGCATGTATCACACAATTCGACCAATTTGCTCAAGATTTCTCCGAGTCAACGATAGTCTTCGAGTACCACGATTTGAATCATGGTTGAGAGAGAGAGGATCCTCATTCATAAGTAAAACCCACCAATTGTTGTCCTACTACCTCCCGAGGACCACTAGGGATGTCAATGGGATCTCATCATCCCAAATGAATATGGTTCTGGGATCAGTGGATCCAATTAGCTTTTCCTAACATAACCCAATTCGAGGATCCTATTTATTTCGATCCAAAATTTCGGAGCCTACCCCTTCCTCTATTGAAGCTGTGGAACAAATTCAATGGCATTGAACAGTAACTAGTAACTGGGAATTTTTTATGGCACAGATCTCAATTTCAGTAGTCATGAATCACGATAAAGTTTAGAACAGTACTTCATTCATTTAATCTTTTTTTTTTTTTTTGACTTTCTGCTATTGTACCACAATATTTGCATGGGTTAAAAAGAGGAAAAGGGTATAACAAAAACAAATATAAAAAGAGAAAAAAATTATTTCTTCAGAAAAAGAAAACAGAACTCCACACTACCGGAACAAAATTCAAAACAAATCAAAATGGGCATAACAAATAAACAGACTCTAGGGTAAACAAAATCATGAGCAAACTTTCTGGTGCAAGAAAAAACTATTTTCAAGAGGATGAAGCAATGAACCAAATTGGTACCGTACCAAAATCCATATTCAGCTAATAAAGTAATAAATAATTATTAGACGAAAAGCATATGGTACGAAAAACAGTAATTTTTCGATCTTCCAACCAAGCTCTTTTCAGTTCTCATAAAGGGGAGAACATCCACACGCAATGCATGGAAATTATCAGGTATCACATCCACGGATCATGACAAAATCAGCAAAAACAATGAAAATTGCATTGAAATTGTCACAAATCAGGACAAAGAGAACAAAAACAACGAATTCAAAGAACAACAATCCACCCATATGCGTTTTACAGATTCCCCACCAGCATTTAACATGTTCACGCACACAGATATACAAATGCACAGCCCACATGGCGTATATCCGCATATATCCATACATACCCATATATACATATGGGTGCGTGCGTGCGTGCATGTATGTATACCCATATGCACATGCAGAGAAACTTGAAGGCATTGCAAATAAATATTAAAAGAAACGCTAATTAAGATTTGATAAATGGAAGCTTTTTTTCACCCAAAACAGAAAATCAACTTCACAGATCTACTCACAAATTTGTAATGCTGCTCAATATCACTGATTATAAACACCCCCAAATAATAAAAATGGGTATGTATACACATATTGAAATGAAATGCTGGTTAGTATAGAACGATTTAAAGAAAATGGAGTACCTCTATAGTCAGGCGAGCCCCTTGGCCTTCCAACAAAGCCCTTGATAACCTCTCTCTCTCTCTCACTCCCTCTCCTCTCTCTCTCTCTCTCTCTCTCTCTCTCTCTCTCTCCTCTCTCCCACACACACACAAACCCCTCTTCTTTTGGCTGTGTAATAAAACAGGAGGCTACCCAGTTTTTGGGCTTCTGGTTCACAAAAGGGGTCGCTATATAAAGCCATCAAACTTCCTCTAAGTGGGTCCCTTGGAATCTCTCCCCCAAGCATGCAAGCCTAAACGTAACAGCCCTCCCTTCTCAACAGGTTTTCTGATGCTTACCGAAAAAAAAGGGCTTTTTGTATTTTCCGCCCTAAAAGATTTTTAAGATTTTATTTTATATCTTTAAAAAACAAAATTTTCAGATTATACTCTATTTGTATTAAAAATATTGTAATGTGACCCATGAGTTAGCTTCCGTTATTTTTTTCTTCAAAAGACAATCTATTCATAGTTTGATACATACGAAAAAATTATAAAAAATCTAACAGAAGTGTTATATTATATCACTAATGATACAATGTGAGAAATTTGTTATTTGAAGGTACAAAGTGCAATTCGCCTAAAAAAAAATCAGATTTTCTGATTAGACACCCGACTCGTCATTGAATCCGACGGTTCTGATCATGCTTGTGCAGGTGAAACTCTGTAGGGCCGAGCTCACATGTGATTGGTGTGAATCGAGTGGAATGGTTTTCCATGACGAAACCGAAAACGAATGGGCAACAGAGATAGAGGCGTACGGAACTCGGTCAGAGGTGGGGATGGGTAAACAGGGCAAGTGGCGATGGGTTCTACACGTGATAGTCACATGCGTACCTCGGTTTCCGTGTGCTACGTCATAAATTTTAGAATATTTCTTCTTTCACAGAAAGTATGTTCTCTAGGTTTCCTCTCCGCCACAAGGCTTGAAAATTACTTGCACATTTATTTTTATAAAAAAAGACAAAGTTTCGTGTAGCCAGGGCATTGCCACAACTTTTGTTTAGTGGACGCATTGTAGAATTAAAATTATAATATTAAAATAATTTAATTATATTATAAATATATATTAATTTGTCGATATTAGATTTAATCTCACTATTTGAAAGTTTAAATTATAATCTTAAAATAAAAAATTTAAATTTTAAATGCAATTTTAATTCATATTTAAGACACGTATACACACTATAAGGACTAAATAAAGAATCGTGACATTGAATCGTATAAAAGAACTAATTATTTTATGTGCTTGAAAGCACAAAGTAATAAAAAAAATAGTCAATAATAAGTATATTTGTATTCACACTCAAAATTAAATTACAAAAATAGAAAAGAGAAAGGAATTTAAGGAGGCGAGCGATAGTAATAATAGTGGTGGTATA